CGGTTTCCTGTTTTTGATAAGAAATTTCTTGTGGAGTAAATCTGGCCTGCAGAGGATGACTCCTTAATTTAGCACTAATTTAGTGCCAAGAAAAGAGGGAACAAATGAACTGGACAAAGATGTTTGCCTTTTCCTTTGGAAGTTAGTATTAGGTTATAATATTGTCTGTCAGACCATTAAGATGACATTCAACAATTTTCCTTGTATAATTGACCCGATCCCAATTGCGTAGCAAAGTGATGGAGTGGAGAGGACTGCACCCAGCAAGTCAAGTTTAGATTTATGCCCAGTTTGATAACTCAGTTCAACACTTAAATTTAATGGATTCAGATATTAATATATTCAAATCATTTGATAACCTAAAATTGAACATCTGAATTAATTAAATGACACTGAATTTTCTAAGCAAAACTTGCTCTCAAAATTAAGCGATAAGCTAGTCACTTATTACTAAATATGATATGCACTCAAATGTACTAAATTTAATATTTAACAATTCAATAAGTTAATGAATTTAAATTTCAGACTTCAACTTTATCAAACGCACCTTTAATCGAGTCAATCTCGACTTAAATTTTTGGCTCGAACTTAAACTGAAAATCAATTGAGTACCTATGGTTCGACTCATGTTCACTAATTGATCTCGAGTATATAACTGTAATCTTTTCTGAAATTGAATTTATTGGCAGGTGGCCATAATGATTAACGAAAGTACAAGACTGTATACCTTTTTTTTTTTTTTTTGGTTCAATGAACTTTCAAGTGAAATAACTTTGGCCCAAGCTCGGTTCGAGCCTTTTATCAAGTTACTCAAAACTTGAGCTGAGCTAAGCCACTGCCAATATCAGGCTCAGTTTGGAAGAAAAATTTACATAAAAAAATGGAAACAAAATTTCTTAATACATCAACCAGTCTAACTTAAAAGCTCAAACTCAAGGACTTAATGTGTTAGTTTCAAGACTAGAAATAATGATTTTCTTCATGGCAATTTATGGGAAGCATATTAGTGAGTCAAATTAAAAATAATTATACAAGATTGGGGTGGTTTATTTTCGTCAGGGTATATTATGGGTTGAATTTCAGTATAATTCTAGAAAAAAAAGGTATGGTCAAGAGGCAGCAAAGAAAGATTGAGTGTTTAACCGAGGCGGATGTTCTGGCCAGGCGACTTCGGTGTTGAATGAGGTGGTGCTTTGTGTAGCTCCTTAGCAGTGTTTGATTGATTATATTCATCTGTCAACTTAATCAGCGTGATTTTGCTTCTTTCTGATTTTCATTTAGAGTTTTGCTTGTACAATTTCTAGTGGGCACCAACTGAGCTGTGATGCCATTTTGAGCCAATAAATTAGCATGGGTACACAAAACCAAAACGCGACCTGAGATGGGTTTTGGGACTAAAAGAATATGGGGGTATAAATTGTATCCTTTTCAAGGTGTGAGATTGAAAAAAGTTGAGATGTGAGAAACTACTTTATGATGCAAAGGAAATATTATTTGAAATAAGTATTATTTGGCTAAAAAAAAGTCTTATTTGACTAATTCGTGCAGTATTACTTTTCTTCGAATGGGGACCCGTTTGGGGGTCTTACAAGTTACAACTTGACCAATGATACTCCCATGTCCATGGTTAGAAATGTGCCAACAAAGTCCAGAATTAGCCATAGAGGTTTTTTCACATTCATGAAAGCAACGCCGCGGATTAACTCATTTATTATCATGGTCCTCATATTGCGTTATTATTTTGATTTATAGTTGTTGCTGTTTTTCATAATTTTTTTATAAGAAATTTCTATTTTGGTCAATTTTTTTTTTATTTATCAACACGATAAATTCTATATTACAATTACTCCCACTCTATATTAGGAGGAGGGGGACATAGAGAGATTGAGGGGAACCCGGTGAACTACCATCGGTTCAGATAGATACTTATGCACTGACTGGCAAAATATTTTTAAAAAAGCTCGGATCCTAGAACGTAGGTCAAAAAATTTGATCCTTTGACCTGTTCACAAGTAGAGCTTTAATGCTCTGTTTCGGTCAATTTGGGCAGTGGAAATTGAAATGAAGTGCAAAGTCATCAAAATTGGAGCGCAGGTTGTGGGGACCAAGAATTAAAGGAAAGATGGTAGCATAGTAGCGGACCTTACACTTTACTTTGGAAGAAATTATGACTCCAAGTCCAGAGTGTGAAGGATATTACTTTGGTCTTAAATCCTGCAAGTGTGAAGGATATTTTAGTCCTACTGCTTGTTCAATATATTACTCAGAGTGTTATATTAGAAGGTGCTGATTAAAAGATTAAAGGTGGTGTTACCAGGGGCTGAGCTAGGATAGTATATTCAGTGGGGGCATAAATTTATTTATAGCAAGTAGTAGCTAGCAAGTAGCAATATATATTTTTAATAACTATCATAAGAGAATGGGAGGACCCTATTAAAATCCTATAATTCCCCTATTAATATCCTATATTAGGCGGAGTGCCCGTGCATCGTGCGGGTGTTTAGTGCCTGTCATTAGAGAAAATTTTTCATTGGACAAATAATAGCACATTTTGGAAAACAATAATCATCAAATATGACAAAACTAATAATAGTACATTCTAATTGTAGCATATGCTTGTACACTTTATTTTATCAATACTTTTACAATTTTACCATTCCCAAAAGGTCCCTACAAATGTCAGTTAAAGATCGTCCAAGAGCAGATATAAGTTGTTTCAAACAAAGGAATATCCTCCAATGGCTAATTATAACAACGTGTTAATTACACAACGTATTAATATATCTATGTGCTAATTGCACAACAAAAGCCATACTTTAATTAAATATGTCTATAACACCATTTCAATAATTATACTAACACATAATCTTATATGAGTTGTACTCCATGCAAAAATGATTGCAAAATAATTTTACATTCCAGAAATAGCTAGATGTCTTCATAAATCAAAACTTTAAATGTATCAAAATGAAGGCATTTCGATAAATATACCTAAACGCATGCTACTCTTAACTGTACCTAAAGTTTTAAAAATACTACAAAATATTCCACATTTCCAGAATGCCTCTATCTATGCGGTTAAAATTCGAACTCCTTTGACCACAACTCATTCAAATATTGTATAAGGAATTCGTTTGAGTATGAAGAATTTTTGTGTATAGAAAAACTCACTAGCTAATTGTACTCCTTAATGTATTGGGCTTGCACTGGTAGGAATCATTAACTGATAAATTATATCTGTTATTTTGCTTTCTTAATAAAGAATTGCTATCATTATCAAAAAAAAATAAAGAATTTCTATCAAGTCGTTTATAGATACGTCCACGTGGACATTGTACAAGTTAACTGGTTAAGTATATAAAGTTTCTAGTACCCGACACCTAAAATGTCAGTGGGGGTACAATTAGAAAGTAATAGGACAAAACTAAATAGGAAAATGATCATTTTCATCCCTTACCTTTTACAAAAATATTTTTTTTGTTTCTCACTGTTAAAATAAAACAAATTCATCTTTCACATTTAAAAACTGAAACTATCACTTTCCTAAAGTCAACTTTTAATATGAATCCAACCACCAACAACCCAATTACAAATTTTGGAGGTATAATTGATAGATTATTTGGTTAACTCAACTTGATATTTACATGAAATTTAATGAACCCAAAAAGGAAAAATAAAAAATTATTACATAAAAAGAAGGATTAATTTTTCCTACATTGTCATTTTATACACTGATGGGTCTAAATACTTGCCACATCATTTCAATTTAAATTTAAACACCAAACTTTGTATGTGTGATAACATCTAAACTCGTAAGTGTATACTCTAATAGCATATAAAAAGATTTTTTTTTTTAAAAAAAGAAACCCTACTATTCCAAAATAAAGAACGGCCTTTTATGTTATAATTTTTTAATTTTTTCCTTTTTTGGTTCAATAAATGTTATGTGAATGTGATAAAGTTGACCGAATAATCTATCAATTCTATCCCCGAAATTTATTACTAGATTATTAGATGGTTTGATTCATATTGAAATTTGGATTGAGAGATGTTATCTATTCAATTTTAAATGTTAAAGATGAATTTGTTTCATTTTAAAAATGAGAGATGAAAAGAATATTTTTACGAAAATCATATAAAATCACATAATATATTAAGGACCATAGACGGATCTAGAGAACAGTGAAAGAGCAGACAAGATCTAGAAAATTGTTTATTCCCCGTAAAATATGAGAATTGATTCTTTAAATATAAAAAGTTTTGATCTTATAAGATTTTTTTTTTAAGATTTCTTTATTCGAATTCACTCTTTAGATATAAAATACTTTTGATCTCACAAAATTTTTAGAAGGCAGTGAGGGGCAATCAAAAATGGCAACTCCCCGTACAATATGAGTCTTCATTCCTATCAAAAGTTTCGACCACACAAATTTTTTAAAGATTTTTCATTAATTACAACATTCAAATTGGTATAAAGCTTGCCCCTTCAAATTAAAAGTATATGCATCCAAACATTTAAAAGAAAGAAAATTTATTCACTTTTTAAAAATATCATGAGTTTTTTTAAGAGTTTCAGCAGAATTTAGTCTCAAATTCTCTTGAGGCATAAACTTTAACTCAAAATATCAATCATGATGATGAAGTTACAAAACTGAAACATACCTTTCAATTATGGTGAAAATTAAAATAATAAAACAGTCTTCGATCTCAATCTGTCCCTTGCAATCCATCTTCAGTTTTTATTTCAATCTGAAATTATTGGTTAGCAACAATTCCAAAATTGTGAAAAACGTTTACAGATACCAAAATCAGGACAAAGAAAGGTGCACTCAAGACAAAGGACACCGTATAAAATGAGAGGAGTAGATTGCCTCCTTCAGGCCCAGGAAAACTTGACCACATATTGGTCATTAGATATTTGATGTGCCATGGGTGCTTTACCTAATTAGAAAAAAGATGAATTATAGCATATAAATAGGGACACGTATATGGAGATTAGTGGCAGTGTAGTGTTGAAGAAACAATATGGGCATTCCACATGTACTGGCCATACCTTATCCAGCACAAGGTCATGTACTTCCCCTAATGGAACTTGCCTTGTGCCTAGTCAAGAGTAGTATCAAGGTTACATTTGTGAACACGGAATTTGATCACAAACGAGTCATTGAATCATTATCAGGTGAAGGAAATGTACCAGATATGATGCATCTGGTATCTATCCCAGATGGCCTGGAATCCTGGGAAGATAGAAATGACCTGGGGAAGTTAACAAAGACAATTTTTCGTGTTATGCCTGCAAAGTTGGAGGCTCTAATGGAGAAGATAAATGAATCTGAAACTGAGAAAATCACATGCCTTATTACTGATGAGAGCATGGGTTGGGCACTGGAGATCGCGAAGAAAATGGGAGTCAAGGCTGTGGCCTTCTGGCCTGCAGCAGCAGCTGTATTGGCTCTGGAACTCAATATTCCAAAGTTCATTGATGATGGAATCATAGACAGCTCTGGTAAGACTCCTTTCAGCATAATGCTTTTACAGTTTCAACACTTCTGCATAAGCTCTTAAAGTCCTCATAATCATGGAACGGTGAAACAATATTAAGCTGACCAGAATTGGAAGCTATGAAGCTAGAAATCATAATGCAAGCAAAGTAACAAACTCATAGGAAACAGGGTGGTGAAATTTGGTTGCTGCAAAATAGGTTGAAAGTTGAAAACATATCCAAGTGAATTAGATTTTTACCAATGCAAGGAAATTTTAGCAGCAAAAAAAAAAAGTATTGCCGAAACAGTGATTGCCAAATTTGACATTGAGTGTGGCAAATTTTGTCGCAGAAAGTGTCTTGAAGAAGCAGATGGTTCAGTTATCACCTACCATATGAGCTATGGACTCTGCACACTTTGTTTGGGCCTGTATTGGTGATCCGACCACACAGGGAATTATTTTTGATGTTATATTAAAAAATATCAGAACACTAAAATTGGCTGATTGGATTATCTGCAACTCAAGTAATGAGTTAGAGGCATCAGTCTTCACCTTGTACCCAAAAATGTTACCTATAGGTCCTCTTCTATCTAGCAACTGTTGGGAAAATCGGGTAATTTTCCACTCAAAATACAACTAGTGATTAAACCGATTCACTAATTCTCAAGAAAGATCATTGAAACAATCTCCTTAGACAGAATTACCATTCCAAGTAAATTCTCAGGAAAGGCTGGAGGGGTCACAAGCGGTCCCACTTAAAACCCAGTCTCTTACACAGAATTTATGTGCACGGTGTATTATCACAACTAGACCCGTGTATACATAAATAATACGTACACATGAATAATAAGATACACCCAAATGAACCGTATAAAACACTACAAATAAACCCGACAAATATATATTGAATACTATACTACAATAGAAAAGAAACTACTAAACAAATGCGGAATAAATAAAAAGAGATAAGGAAAGAACGCACCCGAAAATTGATAACGGAGTTCGGCCAATTTTGCCTACTCTCCGAGTACCACTCAAGCAGCCTGCTCTTATACTTTAGGAGAAGAAAAAATTACAAAAAAATTACAAAATCCTTTTTGGGTAATTCTTTTGTTTTTGGTACATCTCAATTGGGAGGACTGGAGAGCTAATTTATAGCTCTCAAGCAATCTCTCAAATGCTAAGCTACCCGATGTGGGACTAAGAAATGTTTGCCAAAAATCAACAAATATGGGCTATTCAAAGTCAATAATTTAGGTTTTGAATTCAACAAATCTCCACCTTGACATAATTTCTAATCCCACCCAAAAATACAAATCTTCTCACCCAAACAAAAAATCAAACGGTCCTTGCGGTGCTTCCAAATTTGCGCCCTCAGGCACCAACTCAAATGTGCAGGATGTTAACCAAGTTTAAACAATGTTCAAACTTGGCTCTTGTAACCACCTTGGTCAGCATATCTACAGGATTCTCCGTAGTCCGAATCTTCTGGAGAAAAATCTCCTCTTTTTCGAGAATTTCCCGCACAAAGTGATAGCGAATATCAATTTGTTTTGTTCTTGCGTGCAAGACTTGGTTCTTTACTAAGTGAATAGCACTCTGACTATCACAAAACACGTCAATGTGTTTTTGACCAACTTCCAAATCTTCAAGCAATCCTTGAAGCCAAATTGCCTCCTTCACAGCTTCTGTAATCGCCATATACTCTGCCTTCGTTGTAGACAAAGCCACCGTTGACTGCATAGTAGACTTCCAACTAACTGGCACCTTAGCAAACGTGAACAAGTAACCAATTCTAGAACGTCGCTTATCCAAATCACCTGTATAGTTAGAATCACAATATCCAACTACACATTGACCAAGTGATTTATCCTGCTCAAATACTAATCCAACATCTACGGTATTTTAGATATACCGTAGAATCCATTTCACAACTTGCTAATGACCCTTGCTCGGATAATGCATAAACCTGCTTACCACACTAACTGCCTGTGAAATGTCGGGTCTCGTACACACCATTGCATACATCAAGCTATCAACTGCATTAGCATACGAGACTTTCGCCATGTATGTTCGCTCTTCATCCGTCTTTGGAGACAATAGGCTACTAAGTTTCAAATGAGGAACAAGTAGAATACTTACAAGTTTTGAATTTTCATTCATGCCAAAACGTTGTAGTACTTTCTTTAAATACTGTTTCTGTGTCAGACAAAACTTGCCTCTCGTTCTATCTCTGCTTATCTCCATTCCGAGAATCTTCTTGGCTTCTCCCAGATTCTTCATCTCAAACTCTTTACTCAACTGAGCCTTCAATTTGTCAATTTCAACTTGGCTCTTTGATGCTATCAGCATATCATCAACGTACAAGAGTAAGTAGATGTAGGACTCATCTCGTAACTTGCGCAAATACACACAGTGATCGTATTTGCTTCTTGTGTACTTCTGACCCATCATGAACTGGTCAAATCGTTTGTACCATTGTCTCGGTGATTGTTTCAATCCGTACAACGATTTGCTCAACTTACAAACCCAATTTTCTTTACTAGCAACTTTAAATCCATCTGGCTGAAATATATAGATTTCCTCCTTCAAGTCACCGTGAAGGAACGCGGTCTTCACATCAAGTTGAGCTAGCTCCAAATTCAACTGCGCTACCAAGGCCAATAAAATTCTAATAAAGGAATGTTTAACAACTGGAGAAAATACCTCATTATAATCAACTCCCTCCTTTTGAGTGTAGCCTTTAGCTACCAATTTTGCCTTGTAGAGAACATCATTCTTGTCAGAAAATCCTTTTTTCTTTGCAAATATCCATTTGCATCCAATTGCCTTCTTACCCTTCGGTAATTGTGTCAACTTTCACGTCTTGTTTTTCTGAAGAGATTGCATCTCTTCTTCCATAGCATCTTTCCATCTATCATTTTCTGTATTTCGAACTGCTTCAGAAAATGTGGATGGAATATCATTAATAACTGGAAGTGCATAGGCCACCATGTCAACAAAACGAGCAACTTTATGAATTTCTCGTCTTGCCCTATTGACGGCAATTGACTCTTGCTGCTGTTGAGGTTCTTGGGTTGAAACCTATTTCTCATCTGACTCCTCTTCTGCCATGGGAGAGTCATTGATAGTGTTGTTTGCTGGACTCACCATTATTTGTTCAAACTCCACCTGTTTCGGCATACACTCCACCTGTTGTGGAGTACCACTGGTCCCATCCTGTGTTACCTTATTCAACATGGCAGATTCGTCAAAGGTAACATCCCTGCTGATAATGGTCTTCTTTGCTTCTAGACACCACAAACGGTATTCCTTAATTCCATTAAAGCCCATAAAGAGAGCTTTCTTTGCACGTGGATCCAACTTTGATTCGTTTACATAATAATATGCAGTAGAACCAAAAATACGTAAAGAATCATAATCTGTTGTAGGTTTTCCAGACCATACCTCTAATGGAGTCTTGTCACCTACTGCAGATGATGGCAAGCGATTGATGAGATGTTAAGCGTATGTCACAGCGTCAACCCAAAACTTTCTGCCTAACCCAGCATTAGACAGTATGCAATGTATTTTCTCCACTAGTGTCTTGTTCATACGCTCTGACACCTCATTTTGCTGTGGTATTTTTCTAACTGTGAAGTGCCAAACTATGTCACATTCTTGGCATATCTTCTGGAAGGGATCACTCTTGTATTCTCCACCGTTGTCTGTTCGGAAGATCTTGATCTTTCTTTCCATTTGATTTTCTACCTGAGCTTTCCATTTAAGGAAAATCCCTAACATCTCATCCTTGCTCTTCATAGTAAACACCCAAACTCTTCTGGAAAAATTATCAATAAAAGTGACAAAATAATACCTACCACCAAGGGATAGAGTCTTGGTAGGTCCCCACACATCTGAGTGCACATAATTCAAAATACCCTTGGTATTGTGGATACCAGTGCCAAATTTCACTCTTCTTTGTTTTCCCAGAACACAATGCTCACAAAATTCTAATTTGCAAACTTTCGTACCTTTCAATAATCCTTGTTTAGGAAGATTTTGCAAGGATTTTTCACCAGCATGTCCCAATCGCATGTGCCACAACTTTGTTGCCTCAGCATCCTTCTTGCTACTGGAAGACGTTGCTGCTGCTACTGTCCTAACCACTGTACTACCTTGGTAGTAATATAAATTATTCTTTCTCACCCCTTTCAACATCACAAGTGCTCTCGAAGTTACTTTAAGAATTCCATCTCGCATCTTCACTTCCAAGCCTTTTGACTCCAAGAGTCCCAAGGAGATGAGATTCTTCTTAAAATTCGGCACGTACCGAACATCCTTCAATATTCTAGTGGATCCATCATGATTACGCAGCTTGATTGAACCTATTCCATCTGTTCTACATGGATTGTCATTTCCCATTTACACAACTCTACCATCAAATTCTTCAAATTCAAAGAACCACTCCTGCATAGGAGGCATATGATAGGTACAAGTTGAATCCAAAATTCACTCATCTGAATGGGATGTCAAAGGTGATACAACTAAAGAAAAATCTGATTCCGCAGCACTTTTGCATTCTGCAACATTTACATCTTGCGGAGCTTTTCCTTTCTTCTTTAATTTGGACAGTCTTTCTTCCAGTGCCCTTTCTCACGATAGAAATCATATTCATCTTTGGCAACTCTACTTTTCGATTTGGATCTTTTTCTTCTCCCCTTTGATTGGCTTTGTTGACGACCTCTTGCCACTAACGCTTCATCTGCTGTAGCTACTTTATTCTTCCTTTTATCCTACTTTCTCAATTTATTACTATACAAATCAGAACATACAGTATCTAAAGACACATTTTTCTTCCCATAAAGTAACGTAGTTTTCAAATATTCAAATTCATCAGGAAGGAACGACAACAATATCAAAGCTAAATCTTCATCTTCAAAATTTACATATAAATTTAACAGGTCTGCTACTAACTGATTAAACATAGTGATGTGTTCATTCATAGTAGTACCTGGTTGGTAATCGAATCGAAACAATCTTTTCTTCATTAGGAGTTTATTCTAACCACTCTTCTTCAGAAATTTCTCCTCCAATGCCCTCCACAATTTCCATGCAGAAGTTTCATTCTTGAAAGCATACTTTTGCTCTCTGGACAAACACGATCAAATAGTTCCGCATGCCAACCGATTTATGGTACTCCAATCCTTCTCTTCTATGTCATCTGGTTTCTTTTCTTCAATGGCAATGTCAAGACCCTGTTGGAAAAGGGAATCCATGACCTCGCCTTGCCACATGCCGAAATGGCCAGTACCGTCAAATGTCTCCACCGCCATTTTCAAACTTGACATTGGAATCCTCGACCATGTGGACGAGGAAGCCGATGTCCCAGATATAATTCTTGACGTGGAATTGTTTGATGCCATTATAGACTCAAATAATAGTATTCAATATAAATAATTACAAACAGACCAAAGGACGAACCTTCGACTCTGATGCCACTTGTTGGGGAAATCGGGTAATTTTCCACTCAAAAAATACAACTAGTGATTAAACCGATTCAGTAATTTTCAGAAAAGATTGTTGAAACAATCTCCTTAGATAGAATTACCATTCCAAGTAAATTTCCAGGAAAGACTGGAGGGGTCACAAGCGGTCCCACTTAAAACCCAGTCTTCTAGACAGAATTTACGTGCACAGTGTATTAGCACAACTAAACCCGTGTATACATAAATAATACGTACACACGAATAATAAAATACATTCAAATGAATCGTATAAAACACTACAAATAAACCCGACAAATATATATTGAATACTATACTACAATAGAAAAGAAACTACTAAACAAATGCGGAATAAATAAAAAGAGATAAGGAAAGAACGCACCTGAAAATTGATAACGGAGTTCAGCCAATTTTGCCTACTTTCCGAGCACCAGTCAAGCAGCCTGCTCTTATAATTTAGGAGAAGAAAAAATTACAAAAGAATTACAAAATTCTTTTTGGGTAATTCTTTTGTTTTTGGTACATCTCAATTGGGAGGACTTGAGAGCTAATTTATAGCTCTCAAGCAACATCTCAAATGCTAAGCTACCCGATGTGGGACTAAGAAATGTTTGCCAAAAATCAACAAATATGGGCTATTCAAAGTCAATAATTTAGGCTTTGAATTCAACAGCAACCGACTTGGAAAATCAGTTGGTTCCTACTGGCCTATAGACTCGGATTGCTTGGCGTGGCTTGATGAACAACCAGTCCAATCAGTCATTTATGTTGCATTTGGGAGCATCACAATTTTTGACCAGACACAATTTCAAGAACTGGCTCTAGGCCTTGAACTCACCAATATGCCATTCCTGTGGGTTGTGAGGTGTAATTTAACAGCAGAAACAGATAATGCATATCCAGAAGGTTTCAAAGAGCGAATACAAGGACGAGGAAGATTATCCAGTTAGGCACCTCAACAACAGGTCCTGAGTCATCCTTCAGTTGCCTGCTTCCTCAGCCACTGTGGTTGGAATTCTACAGTTGAAGGTGTAAGCAATGGTGTCCCTTTCCTCTGCTGGCCTTACTTTGCAGACCAGTTCACTAATAGAAGCTACATATGTGATGATTGGAAGGTTGGATTAGGATTGGAAAAAGATGAAAATGGAATCATTGCACAAGGAGAAGTTAAGAACAAAATTGAGCAGCTAGTCACTGTTAAAGACTACAAGAAGAAGGCCTTGGATTTGAAAGGAAAGGTTATGAATAGTCTTAGAGAAGACCGATGTTCTGGCAAGAATTTCAACAACTTTGTGAAGTGGATTAAGGATGATTAGGACAACTATGTGTTCTCTGAGCATGCTTGACTGCCACTTATCAATACAATTTAGCATTGATTGCACTCTACATCAAAGTATTTAGTATATTTTTTCCTTGAGATTTTGACTTATGCTTTTGCATTTCATTTTATAGTAGGTAATTCAATAGTTGCTTTTAAAAATTTTTTGGAACTTCAAGTTTACTTTTCTTGTTTGTTTATGTAATACCCAACTCTTCATTTTGGAGATTTTAAGAGAATAACAATAAAGTTTTTGAATTCATTTTTGAGACTAAAGAAGTTGAGGGTTGGTGTGCAATTAAGCATAATGTTGGAAGAACATATTATGGTAGTGGGAATTCCTATTTACCACCTTACCAATTTCATTTCTTTTCTTCTTCTTCCTCCAAGCCTTCCATATTCTCTTCTTCTCTATTCTTACAACAAAGAAGGATTCAAGGAGAATCAAAGCTATGTGAAGGGCATGGAGCTTGGGAGCTCTTCTTTGTCTACTATCAAGGTGAGGTTTAGTTCTTGGCTACAGTTATGGGTTAATTGGTTTGGAAGAGTAGATTCATGACTCAAGTTTGGAAGAATCTTATTGTATGTAACTTGTTATTTCTTGATTTAGTTAGATATTGTATTTTTCATGGCCAAATATTGAGTTTAAGTTATGGATTGTGTGGTTATTGAGTTGATGATGATTAGATCATGGGTTGATTGTTTGTGTGTGGGTGTGATCATGAGTAGTTCTAAAACTTGAATCTATTTATGAAACTTATGTGGTTTAGTTTGATTTTGGATTAAGCTTACTCATTTTGCACTTGGAACTTGGTTGGGAAATGAAAATTAAGGTTGAATCATTTTGGATTGGAATAATCTCTCGTATATCTTAGTATTGCACTTATAATTAAGGATTAGGCTAAACAAATAGGGTGGATACTAGGTAATACATAGTTAAGAATAGTTTGAATTTTATTATTTCTACAATAACAGTCAGTCCTACACGACTTTGAGAAATTGGCCATAACTTGGTGTAAAAATTTCAGAATTGAGTGATTTTATTGCGTTTGAAACTAGATTCACAAAACCTTTTCAGTGATATGAAATTCATAGTCTGATTCTTTCCATATTGATACCAGAAACTTTGGGAAGTTGGCTGAAATTCTAGTTCTGCACTGTGCAGTAGTACTAGAAGTGTCTTGAATTTTGTACGATGATAGGTCAGTTTGTGTTTTGAATCACAAAATACTCTTCTAGGAATTATTAGTATTAGGAGTCTAGTTTCAAACGGTACTAATTTTGTAGCTTTTCGATGTGTATAGGTGAAGTTATGTTTGTTTAGCTAAGCACATCCAAAGCTGGAAATCATACGTAATAATGCTGCTTTGAACAAGGTTCTCATCTTATAGGTGTCGGATGAATGCGTTCTATATTTCTCATGTCACGGGTCTCGAATTAAGTAATTTGGAATTGTTTATAGATGAGAAGGACATGTACTACAAGGATTGGTTGAGTTAAGTTGGGTATTGGTCCGTTGGACCAAGGTAAGTGGTGCATGTATCCTTTATCTTTTGAAAGATGATTTTGAAAGCTACTTGTTTAATTGCTAAAGTGGCATCAACATGTATAATTTGTGATATTTGTTATTACTCTTGCTATGATCATTTGTGAGATGAAATACTATATTTGTTGAGTTCTTGTATAAGCGACTTTTGATGGGACTAGTTCCTCACATGTAGTTGGTATAAGAAATGGACTAACCGTGTTGTAGTTAGCAATATAAAATAGGCTAGCCGTGTGGTAGTTGACGGGTATTTTACATACGTGCAAGCTAAAAAATACCGAATTACACCCGTTCACTGCAAGTATACAGATCAACTAGTAGTTTAGGGTATATATCGGGTCGATCCCACAGGGAAGAGTGAACAATTACCGGTATTACTAAAGTTTCTTTATTATTTAGACTATCAATTAATGATAAGAAATTTAACCTACTGCACTTATACAAGAAATTAACAAATAAAAGCTCCTTAGGTTGTGGTATCCCTAACTACTCATGCAAGTGCTATATTTGGATCATTAATTACTACATCTAGGCTAATTATGGTGTAATTTCCTTATGCATTTGAATCCTACTTTCGTAGTGAATCAATTATACTCATAACTAATCCATACCTATTTTCATGGTTATGAAATTAGCTACAAGTTCATTTCTTCAATGAAATTACATGAAATGAATCACTAAAAACCACATAAGTGCACCTCTACTTTCGTGAGTGTACTCCCTATGTTTAGCACTTCTTGAACTAGTGTTAAATCTCAATTTTCATTGCAGAAACAACACCTTAGATAATCACAATTAATGGTACCAGATTAATCATGATTTCAAGAGCTAAAGTGCTAAATAACTTGCTCAAATCATAGCAGTCAAATAACCAAATAATAAACACTAACAATTATAGAAAGTTCAACCAAACCCAAGGTATAAACTTTAGAAACACATAATGAACACAAAATCCAGAACTTGTATATTAACTAAACTTGGAATCAAATACAAAAGATAAAGAGTTTGGAAGGAATACAACCCTTGTCACATGAGCTTTCTTCCTTGCCTTCTTCATCCTCCATCTTCATCCTAATCTAGATAATAAACAAGAATGGAAAAGCTACACTACTCTATACTAAGCTAAACTAACACTAGGGAGATGAAAGAGCTACATTTCTGCAACTTCCAGCTTCTCCCGTATGTCTCTCTCTATTTTCTGCTATGAACTCCCCATCTCCTATTTTTGCAATGCATTTTGCTATTTAATGATGAAAGGTGGTCAAGAAATGAGGATTACATCTCCCTTTTACAGCTGGGAATGTTTCTCACATGTATAGCATCCAATGTGAGTTGGTGGAGGTGAAATTGAGTTTTACGCGTACAGAGCAGCCTTTTCTGACCTGTGATCCGAGCTGCTACAGTACCTCGGATCCGTATGGATCCGAGCTCGGATCCACTAACCCAGAAACAGCCGAGGGTTCGGATGAATAGTGGATCCGAGTGTGGATTACTTGCTCTGTTTTTGGCCCAACTTCAACCGATCTTTTCTTGATGTTAGAGGCTGAACCAGCTCATGTGTAAAACACGAAAGTTGTAGCCTTTTGAGTTATCTTCCCAATGCATCAAGAATCACCTCATTTGGATCTGTGTAGGCTGAGATATGACTGAAATACCCTTGTCTGCTCATTGCCCTGTTTCAGCTTCGACCAACAGAAATTAGCTAATGTAATTCGGCTTTTTGATTTTGAAAACCTTCAAACTGGATTCGGATGTCTTCACCAAAGTTGTAGATCTATCTCTTATCTTCAAATGGGTTCAAGAATCATCCCAATCCGATCATTGTAACTCAAGTTATAGCCGAAATACGAAAATGTGTCAAAACTGTCAAAATACACAAAATCCAAGTAAAAAGTGATAAAAACCTCATTTAACCACTTAAAAGCATTTTATACCAATTATAGCCAAAATGAATCATTTTCTTCCAATAATATATCCAAAGTGACTAAAAATAATATAAAATGTCATACAATTATTACGTAAATTAGTCACTTATCAGTAGTTATCACTATGAACCGTGTAATCTGTTAAGTTAATAACTGGATATCTGCTGTCATTTGTTGTCTTATGGTTTGAGCTCCTTTATATTTGTGATGTATGATATGCCATTGAAATGTTTATAATGACCATGTTCGTATAAAATTATATGTATAAGTTAATGATGTTTGAAATGTACTATGTATGTAATATGCTCATACCAATAATGAGATACATGTGCTACTTATTGAGTGAGATTTCACTCACCCCTTTGCTATTATTATGTAGTTAATGATAAGTTCATTGAGGTGGACCTTGATAGCTCATGACGGTAGTAATGGAGATGGAGATGGCTTTTGGTTAGAGAAAGACTTTTGTAGCTCTATATAGGATACTTTATGATAGGATTGGAATATTGTATATATTGTAGAAGATTCGATCTTGGTCTTATTTTGGAAGATCTTGTATATGAGAATTTATAAAACTTATATAGAGGTGAATGTAGTTGCTTTGTAAATTTGCTGCCTTATGCTTTTAGCTTTATCTAGAGCGTGGCGATGTTACATTCCGGGTGGAGGGTGTGATAGTTTAGGTGCTAACTAACTTGTTGTTTCTTACTTTTAGATGAAACAAGCAAATATTTGTCAATATATTTACAATTAACGTAATCAAGCATATTTATCTGGCCTAATTTGTTACAATGAATTACTAATTTTAGAAATATTTTGTACAAGTAAAAAAGAATTATCACATTTAAGCATATATTTGTGAATACATGTGATAAGTATGTATTTTGTTTGTTTTAACTATGTTTTATTATTTAGTTTTGGTGTGTTTTTATTTATTTTTATAGATAAGGTTTCTAGTGAAGTTATGTATTTTGTGAGTTAAAGTGTAAAAATTGCATTTCTATGGATAAAAGTGGTGAAAACTTCATGTTTTTGTACGATTAATGATTTAATCATCAAATAGAGTTAATTGAAAAGATAATTGGATGATTATTGATGATTTGAAGTGATTTCAAGAAGACATGAAGTGCAAAATGTTCAAGAGATGAAATGCAATCAAGAATAAAAGGAAGGGAGTTTTCGAGCTTTGATACCTTATGGCATTTCAACTATATCTTGAGCTACACATATTGGATTGAGGTGATTCTTAAATCATTTTAAAGTTAAGAAATAGATCTACATTTTTTGTGAGACCTCGAAGTCCGGTTCAGTCTTTTTCATTGTCAAAATGTCGAAATACAGAAGTACAATTTTGTTATCGAAAGTTGAAATAGAGGATTAACCAATCAAGGATATTTTGATCATTTCTCGGTCCACAGAGCTCCAAATTGGATGATTCTTGGTGCATTGGAAATCTAACTCAAAGAACTACAATTTTTATGTTTTGTATAAGAGTTAGTTCAACCTCCATCATCAAGAAAATATCAGTTGAAATTAGATTAAAAATAGAGCAAAGAGAAGACTTGACCAGATATGAACAAACTCGTAAAAGAGAAAAACGTGGATCCAATACATGGCCTTAGGTAGTGTTTTTGAGGTCACGTATTCTTTAATTTTAGCTGCAACTTGTGTTTGCAACTTGTGCTTTGTTTACACAAGTTTTTTGACCAATTTTTTTTGCAAGAATTTCAGTGGAAATAGACTAGGACAGTTGCCAAAGAAGCTTTACAACTCAAATCTAGCTTGTTTATGGGCTCAAGGAGAATCTTAACATGATTTAACACTTTGTTTTTTGCTTGAATCTCCCTATAAATAGAGGCCTTTGGAGAATATTTTGATAACTTTGGAAGGTTAAAGAAACTCCACAAAAATGTAGTTTTCACTAGTTTTTCTTAGTTCATTAGTATAGTATAGGTAGAGTAGTTTATCTTTCTTGTATTTGTAGTTAGATTTGGATAAAGAATTGAGAAGTAAAGAGTGAGAGTTTGAAAGTCATGTGACAAGGGTGACTTCTTTCCTATCACTTTCTCTTTTGTATTTAAGTTCATGTTTAGCTATAATACAAGTTTGGATATTGTTTTCATCTTTTTCATGTTTAGTTAAAGTTTATACTTAGAG